GTGGCTGTTTGAGTGTGGGATATATTTGCATAATAAATGAGTAAGTGGGATATACTTGCATAATTAATGAATAAGTTGGTTATCTTAGCATAAGTAAATAGTTAATCATATGTCTTATTTCAGTTGCAAGAGTGTGCAAGGCTTTTGGCATGACTGTCTGGGGATTGGTGCGACATAACCTGCCTCCAGAGAAAAGATCACAATATATTAATCACTATCGACAGATGTCTATGTTGCCGGAGCTCCTTGAAAATTGTGATTATGTTTGTAATGTTTTGCCAAGTACGAAACAAACAATTGGATTGTTGAATGGGAATGTGTTGGAAAGCTGTAAAGCTAAGGTGAGAATTAATGGTATATCTTAAATACTGTAGAATACTATATTTTCGCTTGGAATTAATTTTTGCTAAATTAAAATCCAGCAACTATAAATTGGTTCCTATATTTTACATTCAACTCGTCAAAAATCAGTGAAAATAAATGCCATACAAAACACCAAAAAAGTTTATTCAGTGAAAATTTATTCCAGCTGAAATAAAATATTTTACAGTATACCATATCCTCGAGGGCGGACACCCGGGCATTTTCACTGCCTGGCAACCATCACGGTGAAAACAAAGGTCGAAAACTCCCAGATAACGGCACTTTGGGATGGTTGTTGAGACTGCCCTGAACAGTGAAACAAGATTACCCCTGCAAGTTTGAGTTCCTGTTTTCTCAAATTTTCACCAGTCCGCATTCTTCAGCAGCGCACGCAGAGCCCATAGAAATACGTGGTACAGTGGTGCGTGTCTTAGCAACATAGAACGTCTTGTGACGTAGCTCCGCCCCCGAGGATATTCATAAGTTGAGCGCCCTCATAGTTTTTGAGAGGCTTCTGGAGTAAAGAACTTGTTAAGCTGCATGCATATATAGGAAACCCCTCTTCCAAATGCACAGAACGTATTGACGATTCTTATTTTATTGACCAAACTTGCTGGTGGTAAACACATGCACCTAAATTCATCACGTCATTGCCTGATGAATGCCTCCATAGATAGCCAAAATGAATGGAAAAAAATCTGTGTCTACTGGCGATGTGTTAGCTAAGTCTTCATTAAAGCACGGTGGTGGTCGCGCAGCGCGTGTTCGAATTTCATGTAAATAAACAATGTATTTTACATGCGTTGTATACGTCGCTATGAGTCCCATATCGAACAGGACGCGACACAACGAATGCCTCCCTTTAAGGTAGAAGGCTTACTCATGAATTCAAATGCCCAGAATTTATTCATTTTTTAATAAATTGTATTTCTGGGCAATATATAGACTTAAAAAAAGTTGGGGGTCTCCAGGTTAATTTTCGAGAAAACTATGGTTGTATTTTTGTGAATAGCAGCAATTTTGACAGTATTATAGTGCTTTTACCATTTGTTCCTATGGTGGAGATATTATGTCATATTTCACATTGTAGGCTGGTGACATAGGCTGAAAAAATAATATGTTGTTACTGATGGTATACTTTTTGTTTCCTTGAGTTTTTTCAAAAATCTGGGTTTTAAAAAGTGTCAAAAAATGCAATTTTTGTTTAATATTGTGCTCTATGGAAAAATATTAGGACAAGTTTCCCAAAATATGTCACTGTAACACACAAAAGAATGCTATTTTATAGCGTCATATGGGACAATACCTCCACAATTTCACATAATAAACCAATTGACATTGTCGTGCGATTTACATGTATGTCCAACTTTCTCAAAAATTATGAGTAGGCTTCTACCTTAAGGTCACGTCAATGAGTATATGAACCTCAGCCCTTGGCTTTGGTGACACTTTTTGAGTTAGTAGAACACTTGATCAAAGTTTGGTTATCTCCACATATTAATTGAACTTGGACCGTCCATGGACATCAACCATGGCACACAAATATTTTATAATAATAATAATAATGTGCATTATTGTTTTAATTGTTTTCAGAAATCTGTTTTCATCAATGTTGGAAGGGGAAATATAATTACAGAGGAAAGTTTGGTGAACGCGATGAAGTAAGTGAATACTGAATATAATCGACAAGGTTGCTAGGTTACTGAGTGCCAGTGCGCCCTCTGATGGCTGTTTTTGAGTCACAATGGAATTTATACTAGCAAATTACAAATTCCATATCTTAATATTAAGTAAAATTGTTTGAAGAGTACTGTTAATGTAAGGGACCCCAGAAAGCAAAATCACATATCTAGAAATTATTTGCGCGTGTGAAAAAAATGGTAGAATTTTGTTGTATACTGTAAAATACTTTATTTTCGCTTGGAACCAATTTTCGCTATTTTCACTGAAGGAATGATTCAGTGTAAATAAAATCCAGCGAATATACCTTTTTTTTCTATATTTTACATTCAACTCATCAAAACTCAGTGAAAATAAATTCCATACGTAACACCAAAAAAGTCTTTTCAGCAAAAATTAATTCCAGCTAAAATAAAGCATTTTACAGTATTATTTTTTATTCTTCTCAAACTTTGTCCATGTTTATGAATGTATAGTATAATGTTTTTGAAGATCACAAAATCACTTTATGATTTTCTGTTGCATCATGGGTGATTCAGCGAATGGGTACAAGAAATCTTTGTACTGTAAACGCAATAATTATTCGTAGGTTTTAATTTCGCTATTTTGCTGATAAGTATAATCTGCTGAATTAAATTACATGAACAAGTAAAATAACAATTAAACTCAATTGTTTCCTGTCAAGTTGTGAACTTAAAACCTAGTGAAATAATTCAAGGCATGAAAATAGTGAAATTAAATGTCAGTGAAAATAAATGGTTTTAACGGTATATCAGAAATGCATCATATTGAGGGGCACTACTAAGCATATGCTCAGGCAATGGGTATTTTCGTATACTGTAATCAATTGTTTTATTTTCGTAATAATATAATTTAAATAAATAAAAAAACGTAAAATGTATTCAGCTATTTTAATCGACCGTAATTTGTACAAAGATATTATTTTTTGTAAGCGTATAAAGCATTTTCCAAATTAAATGTCATAATTCGTACGCAATTTCCAATTTTGATTCTTAAACTCAAATTATCCAAAAAAATTGTAAAATGTAATTAGGAATTTGCTTTATCTGTAAAGTGTAAAAACCTATTTTTTACTGTAAATGAAACTTTCATTTTATTTCCTGTAAAAACGTAAAATGACATTTTTATTTCCTGTAATCTTGCTCCCCCTCCGCAAATATAAGGGAGACAATTGATTATCTAAAAACATAATTTATGTTCAAACTTACTGTTCAGTGATAATCCACGGCTGAATCCAATGCCACAGAATCATGTAGGCATATGCTGAACAGGGGTTTTTCTAGAAAAAAAACTGCAAAAGGGAGCACTGTAATTCAGCGACGCCACCAAGTGTGGGAGATAGGGTTCTCCCTGCCAGGTGTGGAGTTTTTGATAATTCTAAGGGAAGTGACGGTTTCCTGTGGGGCCCCGCCAATGCCCGAACCGGCACGACATGGCCTGGCAAAACCGTAGTTTCCCCGGAACCTAGCTTCCCCAGGAGTTGATTCACACTTGAATTTCCATACATGTGGTCCGCGGTACGGACGACAGCATTCAGGAGAACAAATATTCACAACAAACACAATGGCACAATTACGTAGTACGTCGTGAGTTGGGAGTGTTGTCATTTTAAACTGGGTACAATATTAACAACAATGGAGCATATCCAGACTTCCTGGGTGTTGGCGGAGCCCCCGCAGGGAACTGACCAGTTTGATTTCGGTAACTTCCCTAAGTTAAAGTTAAAATGAAGCATTCTAAAGCTTCCTTGGGGCCAAAATTACTATCAGACAGGTCACAGTTGAAGAATGTGGCCACATGTGATCCCCGGTCAATCAACCGAGTACCTGGTATCTGGTCAAATTGAATTAAAACCACCACGATACTAAGTCGTCAACAAAATGAGATGACTTATTTCCGCTTTGGCTTGGGTTAGAAATGGGAAGAGACAACCTGAAAGTTTGGGAAAATTCTTGAATGGCGTGATATCTTGATACATTCATTCAACAACTGATGTATTTATTCTGACTCAGAGTAATGAGATGCAACAATTTAATAAAAATACAAATTTCCTATCAATGAAATATATATTTCATTAAATTTAAAAAATATTATTGAATGAAAAGTATTGCCAATATAGGACAACAATATTTCAAG